GCGTGTGCGTGCGTGCGTGCGCGTGCGTGAGTGTGGGTGCGTGCGTGTATAAGCGTGTGCGTGCGTGCGTGCGTGTGAGTGTGTGTGTGTATGTGTGTGTGTGTGTGTGTGTGTGTGTGTGTGTGTGTGTGTGTGTGTGTGTGCGTGCGTGTGTGTGTGTGCGCGCGTCTTGCGTGTGTTGTATGCGCGGTTGTTCACGTTGAACTATGTGGACATGGCTTCATCAGAACATTACTAAACATGTACTCACTCATATACAATCGTCAGATTGGAATGAATCACTTATTATATCAAGCACCTTCACAGGGTGCTTCTCAGGTAACAAGACTGTTAATCACAGTGTCAAAATCTATGAAGATTATATTGTATGCGCCTAAAGGTGCTAAATGCGTTGCATTTACGGGCGTGGACATAATGTTTCAGTCTTTTTGGATGTAACATAATATATTGCATATTCTGTCATTAACACATGGACGGCTTCAAGATAACTGCATGCTGAGAAACGCCACGCAAAGGACTCGTTGTCTGACTTCGTTGTCCTACAACCAGTATAGCTAAATGGTGCGAACAGTGCAGTTGCTGGAGTGATGTTTTGTCAAACCAACAAGGAAAGAATGCAGCGCAGTTAGGCAATTAAATGTGATATGTTACTAGGCAACGAACAGTGACCACCTAAAAGGTGGTACACACAAGTGCATAGTATATCTAAACCAACATGCAATTTTGAAATTTCAATTATAAACCGATATTGTCGGTCACACTGGAAGGCAGGACCCTCCGAGGCTATATTCATGCACTTTATGTGGCAAAACCATTTGCTTATACAAAAGACTTGAAAGCATTCACGTGCACAAGCGCCGTGCAAGCATTCTCGTGCCTATTCTTGTCACGTCGCTGTACTGCGCTGTACTGACCTTTGAAAAGAGCACTTAAAAGTTATTGCCTTTTCTCCCTATATTGAAGCCACTCGAACTTAATGCAAACAGCCATCATTGTATATATAATTACACGAGGGATAACCTGAGATGGCGCCTGGACGCTTGGCACAAACTATATCTGGCAGGCCACAGGCAGATACAATATGCGTGTTCTTAGGTAACGAGTTTGTGTAGCGATAATGCTAAATGACATTGGTGGGAGATGTGGTGGAGTGTTGACTGTTAGTGACAGAGTGACCGAGCAAAGTTATTGCTTCGCCATTATCAACGTTATCGACTGATGTACAATCTATAGTCTATATAGTGATTCTGCAAGACATATGCTTTAGTCGATTAGATTGCCGCCATTACTCGTTTCGTTGTTAATAACACATGGTCACGCTATCCATTTCATTATACGAATCATCACTGCATCAGTTATAGACGCAGAGAGGTATAGCCACTGCTGCGATATATATATATATATATATATATATTAATTAGGTGATTGAGCTGTAATCTGTTTAGCGAAACCTGAAAGAAGCCCTCCTATTCACGCGGATTCTGTGCGAGTTTAATTAATGAACTTCTTGTCAGGAAGCGCACATGTATTAATCTATCTATCTATCTATCTATCTATCTATCTATCTATCTATCTATCTATCTATCTATCTATCTATCTATCTATCTATCTATCTATCTATCTATCTATCTATATATATATATATA